GCCCGGCGGCCGCCGAGAAGGGTGAGTGGCACCGCTGCCCCCCGTGTGCCCGTCCCCCCGTACTTCTGCTTGGGTGTCCTTTTTTTCCCTCAAAGGACGTGCTGGGTGTGAGCGGCCGTGGCGGGGTTCGGAACCCCCGCCTGGGGGGGCCGCCGGGGGGCGAGCTACACCGAGCGGGCCCGGCGTGGGTGGCTCTGCAGGGGACGCCGGCTCCGCGGGCCTCGGCGCCTCCAGGGGCTTCCTCTGTTCTGCTGTAACGTCCGTCTCTTCTTCCTCGCCCATTTTCCGAGCAGTTCCGCCCGCGGGAGTCTCTAGAGCCTGCTCGTCGTGTGTGAGAGCGGCCGACGTGAAGGACGCGTGTTCGCAGTGCGACCGGTTTGTGTGCCAGAGCTGCAGCAGGCTCTGCAGCTGCTGCAGCGCCCTGACCTGCTCTTGCTGCGCCACTGTCGAGTAAGTGCCTTTGGAATTTTTAAGCTTATTTTGCTTATACGTTCCCTGAGAATTTGCTGTAGTCTGTGAAGACCCACAGCTAGCTAGTTCATCCGCAGAAAGGACTTGATCTAGTGTTGCTTTAGCAGCTAAAGCTGTCTGAAACACGGACAATAAAACGCATGTGTGAAGTAGTCTAATCAATCGTAGTGCAAGTCTAGTTTATCTTCTCATTTAAGTGTTCTAGGAGGCAAAAACTCCGCTTGCTTTCCCTCCAGCAACATAATATGCTGCCCAGGGATGAATGAATGCACTCCCAAGGAGTAACATTAAGTTTTTGCCATCATTGCTAACAGTTCTATGATGTAAAAAACTACTGAATGTGCTGTGTGGGAGTGCTGTGGTTACAGCTGATAATGGAATAGGATGGCATTCTTTTTTGTGTTCCAGAAACAGAAGACACACTGACTGTGTTTCTTTTGGTTTTCTTTTTTTTTTTTTTCCCTCCCCTAGCTATGGTGATCTGGGAGAGCAAGTTCTCTGCAATGGTTGTTCGATATTTCAAGTCTGAAACTTGATGAAATAGCCTTTATGGCTAAGATGTCCATAAATTTCATGAAGTTTCTTCCTTACAGCTGGTCAATCCTTTTAGCATGTGAATTAATTATGGAATTTCTATGTTTTATATCTTTATATTGTACTTTTTAATATTGTAGCTAAATAAACTTTTCTATTTTGAGCCTTTCTAGATTATTTTGAGTCAACTTTCTTCTCTCTGGTTGTGATATGCCTGTCTGGAAGGCACCACTTTATGCTCTTACCTCCTCTTCCTTACACTGCACAGAATTCAGATTATTCGTCCAGTGTTTCTTCACTTGTTGCTCATGTTAGGACACACTTTTATGGGATCAGAATAGAAATCAGTTGCTTGTTAAGACTTTCAGGTGATTTTAAGTCCGTTCTGGACACACAACATTTTCTTTGTGAGCTAACTAGGAAGTCAGCCAGGCCTGAATCCTTTTCCAAATAGAGAACTGGCTGATTTCTGATTATTTTTTTTAAACTGTCACAAACATTTTAGGATTACTGTCAACTTGGATGGTTTTAATTGTTCTTTCCATGGTAACACTGAAAGAAAGGACAATGGTACACTACGCTTGGAGAAGAAAGTTTTTTCTCATTAGTTTAGTGTCAAAGACTTAATTTTCCTGTACCCTCCTTGCAAGGTCTTTCTTGGAAAGTGGTTTGTTTGTATAAGTTGATCATCTACACTGTAAACTTCATGCTCTCCTTAATACCCGCTCAAAAATAGCTCTTGAGGTGATCTGAAAAATGGTCAGCACTTGTGTACACCTCTGTGAGGTAGCTCGTTCCTCATTTTCCTTTCATACCACTGCAGAGAATAGTTTGCTTTGTGTTTCTGCTGTAGAAGCAAGATTAACATTAAGTACTAATGGAAAGCCTCTCAAAGTAATTTTCTTTTACTGCTTTTGCTATGTTTTTAAAAACAAACACACCAGACTCTTAACTGTGTTTAAGACAAAACTACAGTGGTCTGTATCTCAGGAAAATGAAGACTTAAGTGGCTGTTTTCAGACTGTAGGAAAACAAGGAATAGATTTGAGAGAGAAATTTTAATGGCACTCATAGCTAATGCTTTGTTTCCCAAATAATTTGCCCTGAATTCCTGAAGCAAAGTCTGCCACTCTTGCTTCCCGGTCTTCTCAGTTGTGATCAGTATGTTTTGCATGGAGTAATTTTTTTTACCTCTTGCCTTCTGCTCTAGCCATTTTTATTTGAAGAGATGGAAAGGCCTTTGCAATGCCAATTGAGAGGCTTGGTACTCTCGTGGGGACATCTTTATCTGACATGCCATTGAAAGCATGCTGGGTGTTTTCACATTTCAGAATCCTGCAAATACCTAAACAGAGGAGTAAATGCTGTAGCAAAGGGTGGGGTGATCACTACTGCTGAATAGCCATACTTCCTATAGCTGCACTTTGCTTGGCTTTTCATATATTGGCCAGAATGAGGTACAAGATGACATTATTCCCCATGTAATACTTCGGATAGCTGCAGAGACACTTTAAAAGTGTTTGTGCCCTTTGGGGTGTCCCGGAGGAGGTCACATTACCAGGACAACCATCTGTGTGCTCGCCTAGTCTGGCTGCTGGATAAGCTTTGTTTCTGTGCTCTGCATGTTTTGTAGCCAGTGAAAATGGGAGAGTTTATTTATTCTTACTCCAGTCTTGATGTTGAGCACCTAGAAAATGTATCTTTCCCCCATTCCCAAAACAAAAAAGCAAGTTATAGTCAGTCAGGAGTGCTCATAGCGAAAGCATGAGAGTGTGCAGCAATTCCACAGCGTTATTTATCTTTCCAAAACTGTGGTTGATAAAGTCAGGATGATGGCAGAGCTCTGGTGCCGTTTGCAGCTTTTAAAGGTTAGTTTTAGGAATGAATTTTAAAACTTGGCTTTGTTTCAATTAAACCTTTAAGCAGTGAACAAAAATGTTTTTTTCAGTCAAGCGTGTATTTCAAGCTGAAACCTTTAAGTATGTGTCGCTTTTTTCTCATTCTCTCCCGAGGGTGAAGGACTGAAAATATTGTTCTGCTTCTAGGCTCCTGGAGAGATGAGGCATGTTGTTTACATAAGATTTGTGTTTCAAAGTAGTTGATAGATCTGTGTTTTTCAGCTGGTTCAGTCACTGCTGTATTTCATAGAAAGCTGTCCTCTGTAAACAGTGGCATGGATTTCATGGCTGGAAGTTCCTACTTGTTATCCTCTAGCCTGCTCCTTGAAAGGTGGTTATTCATTAGGACGGATACTTGATGCAGAGGGAAGAGCTGGGAGAGGAAAAAAGTGGGAGAGCTGGAAGAGAAAGGTTAGAGGCTGGGAGGAGCAGGGCAGGAGAAGCACAGAACAATGGGGTCAGCTACTGCACAGGGGTGGAGTGTCACACAAGAAATGGTTTTTAGTGGTTACCAGCTCACTTGCTTCTCTGACTTCAGAAGGTGTGAAAAACTGCAACTCCTATGCTCGTGTCTCCCAAAAGACTCAAATACTTTTGGGGATGGTTCCTGCTCCAGTCCTGCAGTTCTTAGATGAACAGTGGGGGTAGGACTGGGGACTGGTTTTAAATCTTTATATTGCCTTACAGGGAAAAAAACCTATGGGAAGGGAAGAACCTTTGGGTGAGAGATCCAAAGATTTTTTTGCTTTGTCTAACTCCTACTCACAAGGCCTTGTCAGCTGCCACTGGTCTTAGAGCTGCACATTGGGAGCTCCTAGAACTGCACAGGAGAGCCAGAGAAACTGTCTGGTTTACTAACTGCTCTGTTGTTACCATCATATATTCGCCCCTTCCTATTCAGTGCCAAGTGTCACACATCAAAGTTTGCCTGGTGTTCAGAGGGAAGGAGATCCTCTGAGGAGCCATTACATTGATGGGTGAAAATATCCTGCAGTAATGATTTTGCAGATGGTTGAGAAACCCCTTCTGAGGCCTGTAGATCATTACAGGTGAAAAAAGTCTTAGAGGGCACAGTCAAATGCTCTGATCAGGATAAAACATTTTCTTTTAAGCCTAATAATGCATGGTTTCAGAGATAACAGATGTTCCTTTAAGGACAACCTAAGACTTCACTAGTCTCCAGTATATCCAGTATTTTTTTTGTTATTGATGTGGGTAAGACATTTATGCTTCGCTTTGCTGCTGTATTTGCCACCATCAGCCATGAGATACTAAGACATGGCAGCAATCTACAAATGGTTTAAATCTTCAGAATCTTTTATGAAGAGGTGCAACCAAGAAGTAGAAATAGAAACAGTCTCTTTGGCCCTTGGTTGGTTAGTTCTGATACTTCTGAAAACTCACAAGTGGCCTCTAGGTGGATTGGTTGGACAAGGGCAAATGCCAGCGCTACACAAATGACACGCCGTAGAATGTCTGGGCTGGAAGGGACCTCCAAAGGTCATCTAGTCCAATCCCATCCTGCTCTCTTGCACCACGCAGGACCCTAACAGTGGTTGCATGCTGGTTTTGAATTTTGACAAGATCAGACTGGGTTAAAACATTGAATTCTAGCAAAACTTGACTTACTTAGGTTAAACTCTCACCTATGCTCTATGTGTACAAACTACATATACTTCTCCTTTGTAATTTTTGGTTAGTTGTAATATTGTTTCATTGTGGCAGATGATGCAGCTGTTAGATCTTTGTGCCACCTCTACCTTCCATCAGGATTCCTGTACTGCTGACCACCTCGGCATGAAGTCCTCGGTGCGTGGGGAAGGTGTGGTTGGCGTGGAGTGTGGCAGTGTGTCTGCCCAGTTTGGTGTGTATGTTCTGTGCAGGGGTTTACAAACAATTGTCTGACTAGGCTGACATCAATCCCGAGCCATTGTAGAACCATGGGGCTTGTCCACGTGGAGGAGGAAGACCTCAAACTGCCCAAAGAAGCACTCTGCTGATGGGCAGAGCACAAGGGGTGTGTAGCCAAGCTTTGTAACGTCGGGTGGTACAGCTCTGCAGATGTGAAATCAGAGGGTTGGGAGGCTCCTCCAAGAGAGCACCTTTCATCCAGCAGGCTTTTGTGTGAGGACAGGTTAGGGCTCAGACTGACCCTGCTGACCCCAGTGTTGAGTTTCCTTGTGGTGTTTCTTCCATTCTCTTTTGGGTTTTTCATTACTGAATTGTACAGGGGAAGGTAGCAAAGCTTTGAACACTGTGGTTTGTTTGTATTGAAGCAAATTGGTTTACCTGTTAAGAGTAACCAAGAGGCTTCAGAAAATGTTAATGATTCTTTAAAAAATATATAGGAACTATGCAAGACCAGCACTGCTTGTGGATAGGAAACTGGAAGAAAATTCTTCCAAGTCTCACTTTCTGTTTTTCATTAATAAAATTGCAGTGGAGTGAAAGTGATCACACACTGTATAGCTCATAACGTTTTAATGACTATCACAGTTACATATGTAACTATCTTTTTCTTTTGCATAGACACTTATTTCTAAAGATAATGAAATACTATACAGTTTATAGTTGATTGTATTTTGAACTGCTACCATTGTAATACAAGTTTTAATGATATTTGTGTGTGGTGTGTATTCTGGGCTTTTGTAATTTTGTGTTTTTCCTTTAGGAAAAGCCTCAGCTGGAATCAGATGATTATAGATTACAGCTTTATTACAAGTTTTTAGTTCTCCTGGTTGTGATTTCCATTAAAACCTAGTGATAGTTGTTACATTATTTATCTCTTGCAGAGGTTATTATTACTTAAACATTTAGTGGTTGTAGGATTTACTTTAAGCTTTAGGATTTATTTAGTTGTATTTCCTTACATTGTTTTACTCAAATGTAATAGTTGAAATCACGATCCCCTTCTCATTTGTTTTGTTGTCACTTGCTGTGCAAGATACAGATGGTCTTTCCTCTTTCCC